TTCGTCGTTGTTTATTACGATGATATACTCATATTTAGCTCCTCCATGGTCGGTCATTTATCACATATCCGTGATGTGCTTACTGTCCTCCGTCGGGATCAGCTTTTTTCCGCTAAACACAAGTGTGCGATTGGAGTTCCTAAGGTTTTATTCCTCGGCTATGTGGTTTCTGGAAAAGTTCTTGCGATGGATCAGTCTAAAGTGGAGGCAGTCCGTTCTTGGCCAGTTCCTACGACAGTAACTAAGATTCGCAGCTTCCATGGGTTAACATCCTTTTACCGACGTTTTGTAAGCCATTTTAGTACTATTATGGCTCCCATTACGAGTTGCATGAAGGAAGGTCGGTTTCATTGGACACCGGAAGCTACTTCAGCATTCGAGTTGATCAAGACGAAGCTCACGACATCACCCATTCTCGTGTTGCCTGACTTTTCCGAGACCTTTGATCTCCATTGTGACACCTCGACGCTTGGAATTGGTGCGGTGCTTAGTCAACGTGGCCGTCTGATTGCTTTTTACAGCCAGAAGTTAGCTGGTGCACGATCTCGTTATAGTACTTATGACATGGAATTTTATGCAATCGTTCAGGCCATCAAACATTGGCGCCATTGTTTGGTCCATCAGGAATTTATTCTCTTCACGGATCATGATGCTTTACGCCATCTCGATATTCAAGCCAAGGTTTCAGCTCGGCATGCTTTGTGGATTGCATATCTTCAGCAGTTTACCTTTTCGATTCGTCATCAGTCGGGCAAATCTAACCGTGTATCTGATGCTTTGAGTCGACGTCACAGCGTGCTTACTTTAATGCATACATCGGTTACTGGCTTCTCTCTGTTGGCTGATCTGTATCCGACTGACAAGTTCTTAAGTCGCATATTTACGGAGACATCTAACAGGTTAATGGTGAATATACTATTCATGATGGAATCTTGTTCAAAGGGTTACGCCTTTGCATTCCGGATTGTAGTCTGCGCTTGAAAATTATTCAAGAACTACATAATGAGGGTCATGTCGGTCGTGACCGTACTCTCCAGTTGCCGACAACTTCCTATTTTTGGCCTTTGATGCGTCGTGACGTTGAACGCTTTGTTGAACGTTGCCATGTTTGTCAACTTTCTAAAGGCAAAGCGTCCAACGCATGCAGGTTTATATCTCCCTTTACCGATCTCTACTCAACCGTGGACGGATATTAGCATGGATTTTGTCTTAGGTCTTCCGCGTACACAACGAGGCAGTGATTCTATTTTTTTCGTTGTCGACAGATTCTCCAAGATGGCCCGTTTTGTTCCATGTAAGAAGACCTCGGATGCTGTTAACATCGCTGTTCTTTTCTTTCGTGAAATATATAAAATGCATGGTCTGCCTCTTTCTATTGTGTCGGATCGCGACACGTGGTTCTTAGGACATTTCTGGCGATCCCTTTGGCAGCTTCTCGGCACAAATCTAGATCTTAGTTCTGCGTATCATCCACATACAGATGGTCAAACCAAGTCACTAATCGGTCTCTTGGATATTTACTCTGATGTTTAGTTGGAGATAATATCAAGAGTTGGGATTCTAAACTTTGTCAAGCTGAATTCGCACATAACCATGTCTACAACAGAAGCTTGGGTTTTTGTCCCTTTCAGGTACTGTATGGCGTGATTCCGCGAGCTCCTCTTGATCTTTTTACGCTTCCAGATCGCACGCAAACTCATGGAGAGACCATTGACTTTGTCACCGACCTACATGATGTCCATCGCCTTGCTCATGAGCATTTGATCTCTTCTACTGCTCGTTATAAAAAAATGCAGACAAGAAACGCAGGGAGTTGATATTTCAGCCTGGAGATTTAGTATGGATCGTCCTCACGAAGATCGCTTCCCAGCCAGAGAGTATAACAAACTTAAAGCTCGTAAGATTGGATCGGTCCAAGTTCTTTAGAGAATTAATCCCAATGCCTATCGTATTCAACTTCCTCCTCACTTGTGTACGTCCGATGTCTTTAATGTCAAGCATATCTTTCCTTATCATGGAGATAATGACACGCCAGATTCATGGTCGAATCCTTCCGACCCGGCGGGACCTGATGCATCAGCATCGTAGCTTAAACGACAAGTTACCTTTTTATAGTTATTTCCTTTTTAGTTAAGATTTATGTTTTGCCTTTTCTATTAGGTTAAGGATTTTAATGATGGTTTAAGAGTCCTATATAAAGAACTCTCTTATGGCTTTTGTAAGACAGACTTTGATTAATAAGATTTCTAGTTATTTAAAGAGCTTTCTCAAGCACTGCGAAGAGTATTCGCGCCCTCTTATCTTATTTTTGAAGTTACCTTCAGAAACACGTTACTAGCTTTTCGATCAAACCCTTGATTTTGAAGTGTATAGCTTCCGTTCTCCATCAAATCTTAACATTTGATTTCATTTTTCTCTATTTTATCGAGATTCTTGTCTTCTATATTATTTGTACTAATATGTTTTTAATGATGATAAAAGAAAACAATGTTTAAATCATTTTATTAAGATTTTAGTTTAGATATTATAATACTTCTAACATTCAAATTTGAAAATTTGGTCATTTCATCGGTAAAGAAGTGTAGTTTTGAAAATAAAAATAAAAAAATAGGAGTAATTTTCAAAATATAATCTCACATAAAGGCATTTTTCTAAATTTCCCCTAAAATTTATGAGAGATTATTGGTAAAATGTTTATCTTCATCTAATTTGTATATAATGAAAATGAAACACACAAAAAATTGACTCTTTTTCATTAAGACTATTAAACCAACAAACAATTTTTGCACACCCTATTCAAATCTGCGATTTTCCGAACAAATCTAGGGAGGGTTATTGGGAGATAAATTCTCATGAAATTTAGAAATTTCCTTATTATTGGTTCATGGATTTATAAACTCTTAGTAAATCCACTGTTATTGGTTTAAGAATTTGCAAAATATATTCAAATCCCTTGTTACTCAAAAGGTCTAGTCATTATTGATTTTCTAATTCTAACTAAATTTTATGTTATTTGGAAATGAATTCTCTATTTTTTTTAACACATAAGACACAATTTTCAAAATATCATATGTACCCATAAGATTTTCAAAATCCATGTGATTAAAACATCTAGAAAACAAAATAATTAGTCTTACAGAATATATATATTTCACCTTTAATCCAAATTATATCTCCAAAATTATAATTCATTACATTTTTATTTACTTGCCTTTTAACGTATAATTATAATCAGCAAGTTATTAGTATGATATTCATATTATCATAACAACATTATTTATGTATAATGGTTATTCTTTTTAAAAAACAAACATGTTTTAAAAAAATTCATGAAAATATATTGCAATCTAGAAAAGGAAAGATAGAAAAATGTTAAACAAATTCATGAAAATCTATTGCAATATAGGAAAATATAATCAAATTTTATAAGTCAACATATATATATTTTCATAATCCACATAACTTTATAAATCTATCAATTTTTAAAATCCAAACTCCACAAAAATTCATCTCCCAATAACCCCCTAGTGACATCTATATAATCCGATTTGACTTTGATAATGTTCATTCAAAATCCAATAAAATATAGAAAATATGCTATTAACATGCGATCCAACACTAGCTAACCCGAAAAGTTCTCAGAAAAAATGATGTTTGTAAAATAAAATTAAAAAATTAATTGAACTTTTGATATTTTCATTGTAATAATATGATTAAACAATTTACTTTGTGATTCTTTAGATTTTGATTAAAATTTCACTAAACCACCTAAAAATAATGAGAAAGGTAATATAGAAAACTAATATTGGTTCATATGATATAGTATTATTTTTCTTAATGATAATCTGTTATAACTTTAACAATTTTTTATTTTGAAATTTAAGTTAATTTTGTAATATTTAACTTATAATAATAGTTTATACTATAGTTACTTTAGATTATTTTTTCTATATTTTAATTTTTATACAGAGTTAATCAAATAATTTATTCTTGGGAACTATATTTATCAAAAATTTAAGATTAGAACATAAATTTTAAATATTTTATTATATTTTATAAATATAACGTGATATTTTATATTTTATATGGTTATGAATTAGATTTTTTTTTAATTTACATGGTTTAACAACCATCGATTTACTAACTTGATGATTTCAAGAAGTACTCCGGTTCTATGTTCACTTTAGGTTTAAACATTTTTTTTTAAACATATTGTCATCAAGAGTTTGTATAACAACATTTTTGTAGCAGTATTTACAAATATACGAGTATATACTGTTGTGTATATTTGCAAGAATTTTATATGTATTATAGGTTCAAGAAAACGTTGCTTTTTTACATCTCAATAAAATTTGTTTAACTTTTCCTTTTTCAGTTAAAAGAATATCATTTGAGTTTTTTATTAGTTATTAATTTTATTACATAATTCGTAAGATAAATCTTACCTGACGTCATCGAATGCGTAGGACTTACGGGATTGGGTATATATGGTAACTTTACTATGGTTAAATTATGCTTTGTGTATAGTAGTGTATTATGGACTCAGAGAATCTCGATATTTGCGAACTTATATGCGAAGATTAGAATATAGTCCAAAGATACTAACGACGTAAAGGTGAGGGTTCTCATGAGTTTATTTGAAACAGTTTTGGCCACTCTAGAGTCAAATACTAATTAAAATAGTCCAAATGTGTCAGAACAACCAAATATGAATTCTTAATACAGCATATGGAACCTTCCTGGAAAACAACACTTTATTATTAATCCATAAAATATAAGAAAAATAAGCAATAAATATAAAGAATATACAAGAAAGAACGGTCAACCCCCAGAATCGTCAAGTCACATGAAAACGAACGTCGATTCTGACTCGGTGAGGATCCAGCCTTATATATAAATATACGCACCACAATATGTGCCATCAACAAATCTCTTACTAAATAACATTAACCCTTCAGAGCAAACCAATCTTGAACTACGAGAGACTAACTAGCTAGGACATGGAGGGAACAAACAGAAGGAGCAACAGCCAAATAAAAGATGACAAGCAAGCTCGTTTCCGAGGCGTGCGGAGGAGGCCATGGGGAAAATTTGCAGCAGAGATTCGAGACCCATCAAGGAACGGTGCTCGTCTTTGGCTCGGTACATTTGAGACGGCTGAGGATGCGGCAAGGGCGTATGACCGGGCCGCCTATAACCTTAGAGGCCATCTCGCTATACTTAACTTCCCTAATGAGTATTATTCGCGTATGGACGACTATTCACTTCGCCCTCCTTATTCTTCTTCTTCGTCATCTTCGGCTTCAACTTCTACGGGTGTTAATCGACAAAATCAAAGGGAAGTTTTTGAGTTTGAGTATTTGGACGATAGGGTTCTTGAAGAACTTCTCGATTCGGAAGAAAGAAATAAACGGTAGTTTTGTTTTCTATATTATATTTATGTGGCGTGCTGGTGGCTGCTACGTGCATTATGTGCATGTAGGGTATTTATTTAGTACTTATCTATGAATTTTGATAACGTACCGCGGCCATAAACTGTAAGATATCTGGTGTACTTTGCCTTTTTTTATGAAATATGATTTTCAGATGATTTAAGTACGGACAGTTAAAAAAAAAAGTACGGACAGTTCCAGTTTCCATATTAGGTCTTCGGATATTGTTGATTAATTATATTTCATGAAGTTATTAATTATATGATGTCATAGTATATAAGACCTAATCACATCATTTAATATTCATAGACAAAGTACGTTCCCAAATAAACCATTCGATTTCATTTCATCTTTATATTAAACACCAAATTATCTGGATTTTCACCTATTAAAAACTAGATATAAAAAGTATGAGACCATAATCAATCCAGAGTTTTTAAAGTGGAGTTCTTAGCGAAAGTTAAGAAATTGTTTCTTAACTTCCGCTAAGAACCCCACCTTAAGAATCCTGGGTTAGTCATACTTTGAGAAAGAGATTAAGGGTTTCTAGTGGGATCTTCGTACAAGAGACTATATATGTGAGAACCTCATAAGACACTCTATACACACATGCCACTTTCTAAAAAGAATCTCCAATGTATATTATTATATTTTCTTCATAAATAGAAATATTTATTTTAGAGTTTATTTCAGTGTGTTACTATAAAGAATTCCTTTATTTTAAAAGAAAATATAGAAGAATACTATTTTGTTCTATATGTTTAAGGATGAAATAGTATTCATCTATGTTTTCTCTTAAAAATAGAATGAACTTTATTCTGTAGGTATATTTGAGCAAATTCAACTCTATAATAGAGTTTATAGATGAAAATATAGGTGAGTAAAGTTGGAGATTGTCTAAGATTAAATGATTAATTTTACAGAAGATTAAACATCATATATAAAGTGATTAACATTACAGAAGATTAAATATATCACTATTTAATTGATTATAACATCAAATCTCCACCCTGGAGATGCTATCACAATAGAGCATTGTCCATGTGAGTGGAATCTTGTTCACAAACAAAATAAGTTAAAACTCTGTTGCTTTCCAATTCAAACGTCATTATGGAAATTCGACTGAAACGAAAGTTAAATATTCAAAGTTACTTGATATGAAAAAATTAATATACATATTTTTGTAGCTGTATAAGATCAGCATTCTCATACTATTTTCAAAAATTTAGAACATCCATTTTCGAAAAAGTAAAATGATATAAGTTTTTTTTTTTTTGAAAAGGAATGATATAAGTTCTAGTGTCATGGTATACAAAAATAACATAGTTCATAGAAATGTGAACAAGCTTGATATCGTGAATGACTTATGACTCAATAATACGCTTGTTCTGCAAGTGAAAACTAGTGCTGCTAATCGAGTTAGATCGGTGATATTGTGGGACTAAATTAATGAAGGCCATGTAATTTGGCAACATTCATAACATATTAAATTGTAAAAC